GAAATGTTAAGTTGAAAATTCTGGTCCATGTAATTTCCTCCCGAAATAACGTACCGAGCCCACAGCCCTTTAGGGAAGGGTATGCTTCTAAGAGCTCGAGAAACACGAGGATGACTCGGATAGGTACTTGATATCTAAACTTTGTCGAGTACAATTGTTACAACAGCCAATGCTAGAGCATCAAGAAGAAATCTCCGAATTATGAAATTAGGCTCCTCCACTGTTAAATTTATACTCATTATCAATGTTACAAAATTGTCCTCCGATTTATCTTTATCGCCTTCTATTGATTCTGCAAATGAAAAAATGTCAATGGAATCTGAAAAGCAATCTTTTTTACCATAATCTTGGTTGTCTTAATCATCATCACTATCGCCATCGCAACCGTCGTCATAACTGGTGGCTTCTTGTGGTGGCTGACACTTGACTGGTGGTAATTTTGGAGGTGGACCGGCACATCAATGTTGCTTGTCTTATCACTTGTTTCCATGTCCTTGGGCTCATTAGGGATTTGCTCCCAAGAAAATGGCACCCCATTAGGATTGTTGTTGGGATTTACTGGCAACATGTCGTGGATGGTGATGACACCAAAGAGACGCCTTGTTAATAAAAGTGGCAACAAAATCTAGCTTTCTTGGGCAATCCTTAGCATGAATTGTCTTCCGTTTCCTTAAAGTAGTAAAATTGCATGAGAAGAGAGGTTGCAAGAAAACTTAAGGTTAGAATGAATGATTGAGGATAAAGTTTAAAGAGGTTGTGAAATAAACAAGACCATTGTCAAAGTATTGTCGTGCCCTCACCCTACTATTGTTACGTGCACATCCAAGTTTTATTTAGTTCATAGTTATTACATATGATTGTGAAGTTACTAGTTCACCATGAAATCACCTAATATGTGAATAACGTGGAATTAAATTTATCAATTAAAAACAACAAATTACTTTCTAATTGTTCTGGATGTTTAATCAATCAAGCCAAGTTATCATATATTGAATTGCTGCAATAATAAATAAAACACTAAAT